TGTTGACTTTCCAAGCTAACCTGGATAAGTGGTTAACACCTTTATGACCCCTTTTAAGTTAGGAACACCTTTCTATATTGGCAGAATCTGTTTTCCAATATTATGGAGAAATCAAGTGTAGTAATGGTAAGAGACCAATTTAGTGATTCAGGAGATTTTAGGGTTATTATTCTCAGCATGAAATCTTAAATAAAAAAAATAAAAAAAACCAAGCCCATTGCTGACTGTTGTTCTTAAGTGCTGTCAAGTCGATTCCAACCCATAGCGACCCTGAACAAGGTTTCCAAGGCTGTAAATCTTTACAGGAGCAGAAAGCCTCCTCTTTCTCCTGCAGAGCAGCTGGTAGTGTCAAACTGCTGACCTTGTGGTTCATAGTCTGATTCGTAACCAATACGCTACCAGAGCTCCTTGCTGACTAGCCAATTCCAAATCATAGTGACCCTATAGGACACAGTAGAACTGCCTCATAGAGTTTCCAAGGTCAAGACTGCAGTCTTTATTAAAACAGACTGTTTCATCACACTCCTGTGGAGCAACTGTTGAGTTTGAACCATTATCTTTGTAGTTAGCAACCTGAAATCTTAGAGAGGAAGGAACCTGTCAGCTATTATCTGATATTTCCTATTTTTTTCATGGACTGAACATCACAAATATGAGCTTGTTTTACCATTATCCTTTGTCCATTCCTTCTCAGGGAACAGAGGAGTTTGGTTGGATGGGCCCCTTAATTTGATTTTATGTAACTGCAATTTGGCTGCACTCACCATGATGATCTGGATGAGTGACATTAATGTTTCAACAAATTCTGCCATTTCTTTTGGCCTCTATTATGTTTAAGATGAAGGCAGTCAGTAAAAAAATATCTAGGCATTTGTTACAGATTTTCAAGAGACTGAATTTGACTGCAGGAGATAATTTCCATTTCATTCTCTCAATAGTGATTTTATGAGCAAGACGTTCTTTTTGAAGTCTCTAAAAATTATGGGAAATTTCCCAAGTGTGCATTAGCTTTTAACTAGTGGTAGAATGGCTATATCGTTAGGTGCTGTAATATCTAGGAATGCATACTGGGTGAACCAAAAAAAGCACTCGTTGCAGTTGACTTGATTCCGACCCTTGAATATGAGATCTGTAAATGTTTAAAATAAATCTAGGAGTGACACTTGACTGGTTACGTTTTTGCTTTGAAGTGTAAGTAACCTCCACACTCTCAAAAAATGTGTCCGGATCAAATTCTAAACTGCATTCTCAAAATGACATTTTTTTGTCATAATTGTTATTTTGGTTACACGTGTTGCAAAGCAGAATTGTGTTCCATAGAGTTTTTGTGGCTATGGTCTTAACGGAAGCAGACTGCTGGGCCTTTTTCCCAGGGTACTGTTAAGTAGAGTGGAACTACTAACCTTTCAGTTCGTAGTCAAGTGCAAGTTATTTGCACCACCCAAGGACTTTACATATCAGGCACCAAAAAATATCTCCAAACCCATCCACTCACAGCAACTCATAACCATAGTGTTTCCAAGTCTGTGATCTTATGAAGCCGATTCTCCCACGAACCTTTTAGTTAACTGCTGATCCTTTAACCACTGCACCACCAGACCGCCACATACTGAGTAACCTCAAACCCAAATCCACTCCCATTGAATCGATTCTAACTCATAGCAACCTTGCATAGGGTTTCCACAACTGTAAATCATTACCGGGGAAGGAAGCCTCATCTTTCTACTTAGAAGAAGCTGGTGTCTTGAACTGCTGGACTTGCAGTTAGCAGGTTAGCAATCTAGTGCTTATCTTACAGCACGCTGAGTGCCTAATTCTGATTTCACTTCTTACAACAGATTGCATTGGAACTGACTCCACAGCATTTAACAACAACAACACATTGCTAGCACCCTCATGCAAATTTGTTGACCACTGCGAACCTCTGTAAATTGTGGCTGTTGGACAACTTTGTCTCAGAAGATATTTAAAGCCTGAGATTCTTTTTTAACTAAGTAAAATCATTTATTGGCATTTGCTGCCAGCGGATCATAGTTCTCCTGGTTAATGGGTTTTTTTGATTGAGTAAAGCCTCCAACTTTTATTCATTTACTCATTAAAATATAGTGAATGTCTGCCTGTGCTAGGCATTATTCTAGATGCTGTGGACACGTCAGTGGATCAGATAAAAATAGTCTCAGCCCTCTTGGACCTGCCTTTCCGATTTGGGAGGGAAACAATCAGACAATTGCTGCTGTTGCATGCTGTCAAATTGGTTCTGATTTGTAGCAACCCTTTATAGGGTTTCCAAGGCTGTAAATCTTTATGGGAGCAGAATTTCATCTTTCTAGTGCAGAGCAGCTGGTGGATTCAAACTGCTGATCTTGCAGTTAGCAGCCCAATGCATAACCCTCTATGCTACCAAGGCTCTAAAAAATGAGTAAACCAGAGAATGTCAAATGATAATGCTCTAGAGAATAGTAAATGCTCTAGAGAAGCTTTGACACACTTCTGGGTGAAACTAACTATACTTCATGTTGGAGTGACTTGGTTTGAGTTCCCCAAGAAGCATATAATAAATCAAGAATTCAGGGTTTCTTTGGGTCCTGCAGCAGTTACCTAGCACTGCCATACAAAA